AACTTGAACACATAAGGTGCTTATTGTACCTAAGTACCTAGGTAACGTGCTTTCGGAATAGCGTTTCGCCAGCCAGCCATCTGCCCATCATGCTTCGAACCGTCACGGGACGCGCTGCCGCCTCGGGCCTTGTGAAGTCAGCTCTGCCTCGGGTCTCCCAAGCAGCTGCGTCCACATGCTCGTTTGCCCCGCAACTGCGACTTCAGAACAAGACTCGGGTTGCTGGTCTTCAACTCTCCAGAGCTATTCACAGCACTTCGGTCAGAATGTCTCAGACACGAACAGAGAGCGATGCCTTTGGCGAAATCCAGGTCCCCGCCGACCGATACTGGGGAGCCCAGACGGAGCGGTCTCTCGAGAACTTTCGCATCAACCAGCCCCAGGATCGCATGCCTCCACCCATCGTCAAGGCATTTGGTATCCTGAAGGGTGCTGCCGCCACTGTCAACATGCGATATGGCCTTGGTGAGTAGCAATTGCATTCATACAGGGCTGTTTGGTGGTAATATCTTGTTTTCCACTGTTCCGCTTGGAGGGCTTGACTTGTACCCGTTCCATGGCGGGGTAGATTTTGTACACCAAGCCGTTTAACCTCAACGGAGCCTACTCTGAGTGTCAAAACGCTAACGATCATTTTTGCAGACCCCAAGATTGGTGCTGCTATTCAACAGGCCGCCAAGGAGGTTGCTGATGGCAAACTCCTCGACCACTTCCCTCTTGTCGTTTGGCAGACGGGCTCCGGCACTCAGTCCAACATGAACGCAAACGAGGTCATTTCCAACCGAGCCATCGAAATCCTCGGCGGAACTATGGGTAGCAAGAAGCCTGTCCACCCCAACGATCACGTTAACCGTAGTGCCTCTTCCAACGACACCTTCCCTACTGTTATGCACATCGCTGCCGTCCTTGATATTGAGGGCGAGCTTTTGCCTGCCCTCCATAGCCTCCGTGCTGCCCTGCAGAAGAAGGTCGATGAGTTTGAGGCTAAGAAGATTATCAAGATCGGACGTACTCATCTCCAGGACGCTACGCCTCTGACTCTCGCCCAAGAGTTCTCTGGCTACGTAGCTCAACTCGACTTTGGCATCAAGCGTGTAGAGAGCTCTCTCCCTGATTTGCGTCTGCTCGCCCAGGGCGGCACTGCCGTTGGCACCGGCATCAATACTTTCCAGGGTTTCGCTGAGGCTATTGCTGAGGAGGTCACCAACATGACTGGCACCGAGTTCAAGACTGCCCCTAACAAGTTTGAGGCCCTGGCTGCCCATGACGCTATTGTCCAAGCCCACGGCTCTCTTAACACCCTTGCTGCCTCTCTTACCAAGATCGCTCAGGATATTCGATACCTCGGCAGTGGCCCTCGCTGTGGCCTTGGTGAGCTTAACCTCCCCGAAAACGAGCCTGGCAGCAGCATCATGCCTGGAAAGGTTAACCCCACGCAATGTGAAGCTTTAACCATGGTCTGTGCCCAGGTTATGGGCAATCACGTTGCGACCACTATTGGTGGCATGAATGGCCAGTTCGAGCTTAACGTTTACAAACCTCTGGTCATCCGCAACCTCCTGCACAGCTCACGCCTTCTAACAGATGGCATGCGCTCTTTCGAGAAGAATCTCGTTGCTGGTCTCGCAGCCAATGAGGAGAAGATTGCCAGCATCATGAAGGAGTCGTAAGTTTCTACCACCGGGCACTCGAAATAAGTACTGACCAGATTTATAGACTCATGCTTGTCACTTGCCTCAACCCCAAGATCGGTTACGATATGGCCAGCAAGGTCGCCAAGAATGCTCACAAGAAGGGTCTGACGCTCAAGCAGAGTGCTCTCGAGCTCAAGGCTCTGACTGAGGAGGAGTTTGATACTCTTGTTAAGCCCGAGCTTATGGTTGGCCCCAGCCCCTACAAGGGATGAAAATTGTTTTAAAACAGAATCGTGATGCCATGTATCAAAATTGTAAAAGCGCTCGCTTATAGATTATTTCACTAGAGCCCTACTCGACATTAGACAAATAACATCTGAGGTTGTTATTGAAACGTTTAATAGGGGTTTAATTTAGCTAAATAAAATACTATAAAATATAAATAATAGACTTTAAACTGCCTTTAAGGATATTTTATAATCTTTTTTTACTTATTATATTTATTTAGTTAAAAAATACTATAATAGTAATAAAGAAATCTTTATATATAAAAGAAATACTAAAAAAAAACCATATTATAGTATTTGTTTTTTATAATATATTATTCTAAAATATCTTAATATATTATATATAGTTATTAAATTAAATTAATATTAAAATTAATATAAATACTTTTTAAATGTTAAATATATTATATTATATTAAAAGCTAAAAGCTTAATATCTTTATATAAACTTATAAATTTATAAATTAAAACCTATATAGCTTTAATTTATTATATTTATTTTATAACTGAAAGGGTTAGGCTTAAACTAAGCTACATGCCTTGAATTATTAAAAGTATGAGCCTCGTTCCTATTAATGGCTTGCAATCGCTTGGCTGTGAGAGGCTCGTGTAAGCGTTGCGCCCGCAAACGATTTAAATACTGCACTAAACGACCGAGCATGGTGTCAGCGGCTTGGCCATCCTAGTCATCCACAAGAGTGTGGGTTCGATCTTTAACCTATTGTTCAAATAAGCACCAAATCAATAATAAATTATAAATCCACTAATCAATATTAGGGACATCCGGCAAAACAAAGATCCACAGGCTTCAAGACTGAGGCTCGACAATATCCGCCTCGGTTCATGTACAAGTTCAAGCGCCTGAACAGCACAGGAATAGACATAGCCAGCAAGGAAGGGCAAGCAATACCAACAAAACAGTCATTCAATATAAAGTGTTCATCTGAATCAAGTGGTCAGTCATACTGGATACCTCATTAGCCGCAATGTTGCCTCACGTCCTCAAGAAAGGGCGATGGTATTATAATGGGGAGTCATGCGGGAATAGGTTTCCGTCGAGCCTGAATCGCAGTGAACGGCTCATAACGCTTGAGATTCTGGGCAGTTCTCCGCTTCCTAGCATGAAAGAAACCATGTGCTGATGCAACTTCGCTTCTCATCAGCAACGACAGCGGGAACAAAGCTCTAGTATGCATACTCCGTACATATATCCTTTCCCCACATGCCGCTCAGCCTGCGAGACTGGGGAGTGGTGATCAGGGAGAACGGGGCCGGAGGCCCTCCAAAGGGAAACCCGGTGGCAGTGAAGGAACAAATCAAGGTAACACGATCTGTACAGAGTCAGAGAGTCTCAAGCGGATCTCGCACAAGAGAGAGACCCGGAGCGTCGCCCCACTATAGCGGTGTGGGCCAGAGATAGAGACAGATATTAATATGTCATGCCTGCTTGTGTCCCCAGACATTAGGAGTGGGTTGACCGATCAGATCTCTCGGCGCCATTCTCCAACGCCCGCAACAGTCCCCTAGCCCGCAAATCAACATGTGAGATGCACTCGAGCGGCAGAAACCAGCAAGGAAAGTAGGCCACCAGGCCTGTCGCGAGCCATTTGCTACATTAGTTGCTACTCCGTACCGGCATGACAGTTCTCTAGCTTCGGTCAAATCCCCGAGAGGCACCTATCAACAGAGACGGTCAAATTTGAGGAATGGATGATGAGTGTCAGTGCCACCTCGGTGCAGATTCACTGTTTGAGCCCTCGGGACCGGTTTCTGGCTTCCTTGCATCCGGTGGGAATAGACCTGGGAATCGACTTTGAATATTGCTTTGCCTGCATGTGGGGGTCCCGGTTCGAGTTGGGGGTCCAAAGGTCCAGGAGCATTGACTGTGTGCGAGTGCAACACTCCGGACGAACGAGACCATGCTATCTCCTTTCCCAAGAGGCATGCTGCTCGGCTGACCTTGGCGGTTAAGGTTGCGATCATCCGGCAGGGGTCAGGGGGTTGCCAATGCAGGCGAGTTGGATGGACCATGATGCGCTCGTCTCGTCGAACTGCAAGAGCATCAACGGTAAGGTGAGGTTGCTGTCCGGAGGTCTTGCTTGGAGCCCATGTCTTGCTCAAGACTCCTTCACCACTGCCAGGCTTCTCATTTCAGAGCCAGCAGACCAGGCGTCCCAGCCGAGCTTGTTTGGGGTCTGGATACACTACGCTCAGAAAGTTGGGTATACAAAATCCGGGGTCCTCGAGACTTTTATGTGTTATCTCTGTGATAGCACGTACCAATGCGAGTCATCTCTGCAATCCTACGTGGCTGTCGACCCTCGTCGCTTCTCAAAGGTTCTCAAGGCCCAAGATTAGATAACTATGTAGGCTCCCCAATTATGGCCTGTGTCTGGCTGCGTATATGGGTTTATCAGCGCGGAGATCCAAGAAACACACTATCCGCATTACAGAACAAACGGCCGCATATCAGTTGAAGCCAGTTGCTCTGTAACCTTATCTCAACGCCATCGCCCTGCATATCTGTGATACCATAGCCTTAAATTCGTCGATGCTGCTGCTTTGTCACTTCTGCTGAAACAACTGTTGAAGGGACTCTTGCCATACGTCTATTTTTGCTGTCAAAGAAAGAGACGCGAGACTCCGTTGGTCTTACAAAATGTTCAGAGGTCAATGCATACAAGACCATGACTGTAGCCACTCCTTGTTTCCTTCATGCTCAAGGACCTTGACTCTTTGTTAAACGAGACCGATCGAGACCCGAAACAATGTCCTAAACTTGGCCCAGTCGAATAGTCATTGGGACAAACGATTCCCCGAAACGATGCGAGCAAAGAAATCCCATACAATAAAATAACAAAGCACCTGGATATGGCCTTTCATGGCGAACCCTATCGTGGGCTCTTCTCTTTGTCAACTAAGTCAGCAAGATGCTATTCCTGCAATGGCTTTCAATCCTTCAAGGGAAGATCCTTGAGATTGAGCCGCTCTACCAAGTGTTTATAGACCGATGAACCCCATGGTTCACGACGAATTCAGAATGGCCTCGAAGAAGCATATCGACCACGCGAACGAAAAACATGCATATGAACTCTTCGATACGACTCCCGGTATATCTGTTTGTGGTGTTCACCACCCGGTATGCGTGGGCAATGCCAGTAGTAAAAGGACCTCCAGTGTCGAGCAAGGAAGACACTGAGTCACTAGCATCCCACGCCCTTGGAATCTTTACAAACCCAGATCAAAGGAGAAGAGAAAATTCGCAGGCCAATTATGCAAGAGACTTCGCACGGAGTGGTGCCGACAAAGGTGCAATCGTTGGAGGCACTGTTGCTGGCGGAATCATCATTTGCTTCACGATATTTTTCGGCGTTCTCATCTTCAAGAAATATCTTGCTTCCCAAGAAAAAGGCAATAGAAGGATTGCTGATGGGAAACCTTTACGCCCACGCACTGAAACACCAGGAACAACGACTTCGGCTCACACTTCATGGCGTCAGACGTTCAACCATCGAGTATCGGTCCCGTATGCAGACTCTGTATACTCTCAGAGATCTCTCGGAAACACTTCAGCTGCCACTCAGATCAGTAGAGCTTCAGCACAACCAATTTTGCTGCCTACTGTACCATCAAAGGCTGCCCAGATGCTAGGAGTTGGAAATACGCAATCAACAACACCTCTTGCAAAGACACCTCTGTCTTCACCTCGCTTGCCAATTATACCCCTCTCAGAGAACTTTATGCCAGAGACTCCTATTCTTCAATACTCTTCGTCCCAGAGTTCTCCGAAGCAAAGCCCTCTACGAAGGAACCCTCCATTGCTGCCCCCTCCGCAGAATCCTCCTCCTCAAGGTCCGCTGCCGCCTGTCCCTACCCATGAGACACCAGCTGTTATGGTGTCCAAGTCATCCAGGAGCCCCCGGGATCGTACATCTTCCGTCTGTACCATGAGTAGTCTTGGTATGGAACTTCTCCGCGATGTGATGCAACCCCCTGAAAAGGCGTCCTTCCTTCGTTTACCACCGCCAATCTCAAAAACAAACCAGCCGCCTCCCGTAGCCATGAGAAATTCCAAAGGGCAGAATACAGTTCCTGATAGACGATATTTTGTACCGTTGTTCAAGAACAATGGACAACTGCCGAGTCCAACGTCGCCTGACGAGGGAGTGCTTTCAGAACGAGGGACAAGGAACAGAACGGAGAATATTATCAATTCCAAGGCGGAAACAGTGTTACGAGACTCTTCAAGGGCGGGGCTATTCTCTCTCGGTTACAACAAAATATGAGACTTGCAGGCCGAGTCTAGGTGGAATTCATGGCAGTAATGAATGTTTATTCATACTTACATCAACTATACCAAACACGATTTATTGAGCTAGCGTTATATACTACTTAATATACCAACATTTAATCTTGAATCCTCAAAGTTTTACCATCAAAACAGCCTCTCTACTTCTCTGGTATTGCTCTCCGTCTACCTTGATGTCTGTTTTCACCATTTTGCGGAGTCCTAGGGAAGCCCAAGTGACCCGATACAAGTCTATCCATTTGCTCAATCAATTCTCTCTAACTTGTTCAACATTACCAAAGACATAAATCTATCGAAGTTACACCTGCCTGAGACATATTATTCTGATCAACCCATATATTTGTCAAACCCCCCTTAGCAGCTTAAGCATAGCCCCCGTTTCGACAAAAGGCCCTGCCACTCCGTTGCATCTTGGAACGTGCCAGAAACTGATAATGCGTATACATAAGGAGCCACATATTACAAAGTGATATCTTGCAAATCTTTGTGACTAGCACCTCCGCCAAATATAGGTCAGGGGTTCTGGGGAAAAGCTGGAAACAAGGCCAGAATCTAATAGCCGGGCCCTGTAATTTCCCTTCGTACTTTACTCTTATAATCATCGACAGTATATATTATATTCTCCTATCCCTTGATAGATAGTTCAATTCACTCACCACTTTATATGCCTCTACTCCGTGGTGCGGGGTGGTTGAGTTAGAACCTGAAAGATGGCTCTCATTTCATAGCGGCTTCTACATGTACGAGGAAAGGCATCACCTGGAGTTCCCTATTAAGACTTATATAGGGTTAAGGCTCAGCTACATATTTCAAGATGTCAAGCAAGTGGTATTTCTTGAACACAGTCTCTATATACCAGTTCATCATCATAAAGTCTATCGAACAAGAAACACAAGTTCCACTTCCAAGTGCCAACCAAAAACATACTGTACGAGACCTCACCTATCGTATCTAGGCGCCTGTATGAACGCTCCGAACAAAGTCTATTGACGGTCTAGGAAGACCTGGGCGCTATTGGTCCTTGTTGAACAAGCAGGATGGAAACATCTGGTTGATAAGCCCCTTTTCAGGATATGGGACGACCTTTCACGAAGTCAGCCCGATGGATCCGGATACATGCCCACCAGAGCATCAGATATCCCATTGGTAACCTTTGAAGCCCCCCGGTCGTCCCTTCAAACTCATACCATCCACTGTAACTGGGCGCCTACGCCATATATCTCTTCCACTTCCTTACGAGAGGCACTCGAGAATTTAGCCAACTTCAGATAGTCTCACCCCGGAAGAAAGCATTAGACAATTACCGTAGTATTTCCTACAGTTCATATCAAGTAAGGCTGGCCTATCATCTCCTAAGGTGAAGAATAGGACTGTTGCCGCGTTAAGACTCCATATGGGATAGGGGTAGGAGCAAGTTCAACATCGCATGGACGATATATAAATCGTCTTCGGTAAATCACCTCGTTATTATTCTTCATCATACTGAATGAAAATGTTTGTTGATTGTGTTAGTGGATGCCTCTTCATCACCAAGTTCCTCGAATGCTCCCTACCACAACACCATTAGGAAGACACGGGCCGCTAGCAACCTATTGAGTGATTTTCAGCCGTTGCTATGAATAAGACATCCTTTTCTCTCTGATTACAGGTGCGTATGGTTAGAGCAGAGGATTATCAAGACGTGGTGGTTGAGGGTTGTCGTATAAGTATTTTGTTGTTTTTGTCCCCGGTATCAGATTGTGAACGAAGGAGGTCGATGTCCTTAGACTCATCATATGCGACTTCGAACAATGGATTGTAAAGTCTTACGGATCTTGCTGAGCTCAAAAGTACGCATTTCAACAATCATGGAAGGCATCATTCATTGCTTACCATCACAACCCCCGTGATACTGTCTCAAACATCTCTGTGCTCCTTACTCTAAGTGTACCCTCTAGTCGCTCCGGATTTCATTTTCCTGTCTCGAAGAAGACCTCTGGGCTACTCCGTAGTTCACGCCATGAGTCATGAACTAAGATCTTTTACTTCCGGCGCATTCCCGAATCCTCATACCCAAGGAGTCAAGGGTCAAGGATTTCTTAGTGTTTGAAGGCGTTTCTTTAGAATTGCATGAATCAGGCGAATAAGCAGGTCAAAATCAAAGTATAATGTGTAATGGGGTATTATTCCAAATATGCTCACAATAATAAACAAGTTAACCATCAATACCGGACATCTTGTGGTAGTACCCTTCCTCCCCTGATTGCCTCAAAACCCACCCAGTCCAGTTGTATATGATCCTTCTCTTCCGACCAGACATTTGTGAAAATGCCGTTAGTATGAATAATGTGTGTAAAGATATGATTATATCCCGTCAATGTCACTCTCATGGAGAGAAAGACGCCCTCGCGAGTGAAGCATCCGCCAGTTGTTGTAAGTTCAAATGAATGAAGTGCCCCTGCAAACGCTAAGCTCCCCTTCGTGTTGGTGATTTACTTGGTTCGTACCGCGTTGTTACAAATTAGCGTTCGTTTCTCTGATGCGATGTCCCCTGTAACCAGAGGTAGGAAAGGCGTCTAGCCGTAAAAAATGACCGAACGCCGTAATGAATGAAGTAGAGGCCGTTTCTCATCGTCCCTGCGCTGCTACTACTGCCGTATCTTGATCAAAATACATGCTCGAGTGCAGCGGCTGAACAGTGACCAGGAAACGCGGTGCCAGTGCATGCCGGGTTAAGCAGGCTGGTACCGCAGGGACTGTTGGATGATCAGTTCCTTGGTGCAGACTCGTCGTAGGATTGAGGCCGATAACTCTCGGCGTTGGCGTGCAATTCGTCGACTGGCTGTTGATCAGTCGACTTTGAAACGCAAAAGGCCTGCTGTGAGCCTCGATCGTCCTCTATCCGATGACAACTCGCGCGCCTTCTTTGCCCAATACACCCCTTTCTTTCGGCTTGGGGCTATTTGTGCGACCCTTCTTGCCCTTGAGAAATCCAAACATACCGCCAGAGCCTTCACCCTTGCCGTCGCCAATATTGTTAGCATCTGTAGGCAAGGTTGCATCCTGGCGAGCTAGTTCAGACCAACTACCACTACCGTCGAGAGTTACTTGTACGCCCCCAGTAGGACTTGTCATCCGTTGGCCGGCAACAATCGGGACGTGGCGAGCTCGGAAGTCATTCTGCAGCGGAGGTGGCGGAGCAGGGCGTACAGGACGTCCCTGCCGGTTCTCATTGCTGGTACTTGGATTAAGAGGTGATGACTGATAACCTCCGTTGACTGCGGGCATAGGCGTTGCTTCATCCGTTGTGATTGCTTGAGGAGCGTTGTCAGAGTCAGGATGACCTTCTGGATTTGCACCAGTGCCCTCAGTGATTCTATTCAAGTTAGCAAATCGATATCAGCGATCAGTCCAGGAGGGCATACCGTTTATAAGCAGCCACTGTGTAGTCGAACGGCTTGAAATCTGTCTCAATCATGCGATACAGCTCGTCTTCCCTAATCTCTTTCTCAGTCGCATCGTCCTTTAGACGCTCTCGTGGTTTCTGGCGTCTCGCACGGGCTTCCAGTGGGGCCTCCTCTAATAGCAACTCTTCGAGGTCGTATGTGGCATCGAAATTGGTCTTCTCGGATGAAGGAACAAATATGGGCTCGATTCTCTTAAGTTCGAGTAGTTCGAAATCAAAACACTTGAAGAATTCGTTTTGCGTGAAGCTCTCCCATGTTGAGCCCATTCGAGTTTCGCGGTTCGGGTCGAGCGCGGAGCCGATTGCGTAGAGGCAAGCTAGGGACACAGGCGGTTGTGTGACAGGATATTTGGGAGAAGCGGCCTGGATCTGTTGACTGAGAGATCCTTCGGAGCCACCTTCGAAGGGGCGCTATATCAAATGAGAAAAGATGTATATATGACCAGTGCAGTTTAACAAGCTTACCTTGTTGTAGATACACTCGTAGAAGAGAACGCCCAAGGACCACCAATCTGCCCGCACATCGTATCCTTTGCCAGCGTAAACTTCAGGTGCAAGATAAGCCAATGTGCCGGACTTGCTAGTAAGTGTCCTTCCTGGGACGACGTCGGAGGCGACGTTCTATTTTCGTTAGTTTTAGCTGCATTTGAAGGCAAGAAGAGCGTACAAAATCTGTTAAATGGACATGACCATCCGCATCAAGCAAGACATTGTCGGGCTTGATATCTCGATGGATAATATTTTGACTGTGCACATATCGCAACGCACATCCGAGCTCTGCAATCCAGAATCTAACAGCCTCTTCGGTAAAGGTCTTTCTCGAGATATGGAATCGTAAATCTCCGCCAGTCATAAGATCAACCACCAGATACCTGTTATCGAATGTGAGCTAGCACTAGACAGTGTAGGTTATAGGAGAGCGTACATGTACTCAATATCTTGAAAACTGTATCTCAAGTTGCAAATGAAAGGATGGTTAACATATTCCAGCATTCGACGTTCGCGGATGATGTTTCGCACGCTTTCGGATCGTACGACTGCGAGGTTGAAAAGGATTAGCATTGTGTCACAGAGATGATAGCAGATTCCAGCAGATTGATTGTTGCCACCAATGGAAGTGGTACATGTATCGAGACCTTAGGGAGCGCCCTGAGCTTACCTTCATCTTTACGGATATATTTGAGGGCAAAGGACAAGTTCGTGTCCTTCCGCTCAACAATGCGCACCTTTCCAAAGGCACCTCGGCCGACGACTCGCAACAGGCGGAAATGATTCAAGTTCACTAAAAACCTGTCAGCGTCACCCACCACACAATGTCATAAAATTAAAGCAGAAGCATGTAAGGCTGCGAGAGCAAAAGAAAAAACAGAGAAACTGGTTCGTGAAGAGCGTGGATAGAGGTTGCATAACACACGTGGGAGACAGGATGACGCCAAGTAATATGCGGCTGAAAGATAGCAAATGGCATGCAGGATGACGGGAATCCCAGATAAACCAATGGCGACATAGATTTGGGGGGCGAACGACATCAG